ATAAAAATAAAATTACATCATCATTTTTAATGGCTGCACTGTATTCCATTGTATGGCTGTGCTATTATTTATGTAATATTTAAGTATCCATTAAGAGATGAACATTGTTGTTTCTATTTTTCTACTCTTTATTCAACAAATATTTACTGAGAAACTTTTATGTGTCAGGTACTATTCTAAGTACCAGGGACACAGTGATGAATAAGATAGGCAAGATCCTTGGCCAAATGACGCTTACATTCTAGTGGGGGAGACTGACAGTATGCAAGCTATAAGCAGATAGTTTGAGGAAGGATAAGTGCTAAGAAGGAATAAAGACATATCTTCTTATAGATAAGCACTAGGTGTCAAGAGAAAAGACTACTTCAGATAAAATAGTCTGGAAAGGCCTTCCTGCAGAGGTGACATCTGAACATAGATCTGAGACAGTCATGCAGCACAGGAGGTAAAAGCATTCTAGACAGAGGAAACAGTGAGTACAAAGGCTCTGAGACAGGAAGGGGCCCGGCATATTCATGGAATAGCAGGACTGCCAATGTGGCTTGAGGGCAATGAGGGGCAAATGTACCAAAGTGAAAGGGTTGAGACAATTAGAGAGAAATTGGAGTAGGAGCCAGCAAGTAGGGCCCTGTAGGTCACAGAATTTGGATTTTAAGTGTAACATGAAGTTACTCAAGAAATTTTAGTGGGAATAGGATATGACCTATTTATAGTTTTAAAAGATCACTCTGGATACAATATAGAGAATGGGTTGCTCAACAAATGAGCACAAAGAGACCAGTTAGGATATGTTTACTTGTCTAGGGGAGAGAAGATATAACCTTGGACAATGGTGCTAGAAAGAAGTGGCTGGACAAGGACACACTGAAGGCAGGAAAAGAGGGAAGGGGTAAGGAAGAGGAATAATTAAGGTAACTGCTAAGGTTTGTGGCTTCAATAGCTGGGTAAGTGGAGAAGAAAAAATGGGAGAGGAATGGGTTTCAACACACAAATCCTATATATATATATATATACACATATAATGTGTATATATATATTTCATTAGATTTGTATATAAGTATTTTGGTTTGGGGGATTACTGTCAGGTTTTTTTTAATTTTTGATTTTTAATTTGTTCATTGCTAGTATATGTGTTTTGATCTTGCATCCATCCTGTCATTTTGTGAAACTCATTTATTAGTTATTAGGAGTTTTTTTTTAACAGATGCCCTGGGTTATCTATGTAGGCAATCATATCATCCATGAGGAGGGTTACTTTTATCTCTTCCTTTCCAATCTGTATGTTTTTTATTTTTTTCTTGCCTTACTGCATTGGTGAGGATTTTCAGGGTTGGTGCCTGATCTTAGGGGAAGAGAAGGCTTTTAGCATTAACTATGATGTTTGCTGTAGGTTCTTTGTAGATGCCCCATATCAGGTTGAATTAGTTCCCTTCTACATTTGCTGATAGGTTTTATAAAGAGTATAGGTTGAATTTTGTCAAATGTTCTTCTCCATCAATTGACATAACCAGCAAATTTTCTTTCAACAGTTAATCTGGTGGAATACATTGATCGATTTTTGAATGTTGAACTGGCCTTCCATTCCCAAGATAACCCCTGTAGGCCCCAAATTTGGGAAGTTTTAGCTAGTATTTCTTTGAATATGTCTTCTGTACTGTACTCTTTCTCTTCTTCTGGGACTCCAGGGACACAGATAATAAACCTGGTATTATCCCATGAGTTACTAAGGCTCTGTCCAACTTTAAATCTTTTTTCTTCATTGTTGAGACTGGATCATTCCTACTGCTTTATTTTCAAGGTCACTGATTCTTTCCTTTGTCATCTCTATTTTGCTATTGAGCCCATTCAGTTGAGTTTTTAAAATTTGTTTAAAAACTTTTTCAGTTATTGTATTTTTTCTTATATTTCCATTTGGTTCTTCTTTACATCTTTGGTTTTTACTGTTGTTGCATTGTTTGGCTAACACTTTTTAATCTTCCTATTCATTCCAACAGTGTTTGCTCTTACTATTGGGAACATTTTTATAACAGCTACTTTAAACTCTTTGTCAGATTATTCCAACATGTATTGATTGGATGTTGGCATCTATTGATTATCTTTCCCATGCATGTTGAGATATTCCTGGTTCTTCATATGATGATTAATTAGAATTTTATGGATATTTTGATATGGAACTTTAGGTGTTTTTTAAATCTAGTGGAGAATGTTGACATTTTTGTTTACCAGATAATCAACTAGGTTGGATTTAGATGGCAAGTTCTGACCAGCCTTCTGTGGGTTGTAGTTTCAATGTCAGTTCCATTTTCAAAGCCTATTCAGGTATGTCCTCTGTGTGTACCACCCAGTGCCCAGTCTAGGACTCAGGTGATGATCTATACCTTAGTTCAGTTCTCAAAGTCTTTGATATATTTGTTAGAATCAGGTGCATGTATGTATAGCTCAGGGGTTAGCCCAGAAGTTCATGAACAATTTTATAGAGCTACTTTCCTGAGCTTCTCCCTCTCTGTTTTTGCCTACTGTTTTCCAGTTCATCGGGCCTCCTCTTCTTGGTTTTTTGGCAGAAAGTGGGGTTTCAGTTAACCACATTCTGTCATGCATTTCCTGAATTGTACCCAAATCTAAGCCAAGAAGCAGGAAGAAAGAGAGAGAAAAAACAACTAAATTTCACCCCACCCTCTTGGGATTATACTCCTCTAATCAGAGAGGAAGGTTTTCCTTCCTCAGCTTTAGGTGCTTGAAGGCCCCACTGCTGCCACCGGCACTACAACCACGAATGCCATGGGACATTTGGGGACTAGGGCATGAGAGAACAGAAAAAACAATCTTTGGGATTTCCTCCTCTGTCTGATCCTTAGAGACCCTTTTCTACTCCAGAGATATAACTAGAGGTCTTCTGGAATTCTGTCTATTTGTGCCCTTGTGTCCACTGCCAGGTTTTGGGCTGCCTTAAGTCCAGGACATGGGATACCAGATGAAAAATGAGAAATTCACTGCCCATGTGGTAGCGCTTTTAATTCTAGTCTTTCCCCAAAATCTGTCTGCCACTATTTATATTTCAGAATCCCCAAATAGCTAAAAAATGCATTCTGTCCAGTCCTTAAGCTGCATTCTGTGACAGAGAGAGATTCTCATACATGTCTCTGTACATGTATCCTGGTATATAGATAAGCATCCATTTATGTGAGAATATGTCTAGGGGAGGAAATGACAGGTCATGGGGTATTTGTTTATTAAAATTTAACTAGACACTACCATAGTCTTTTCCAAAGTTGTTGTAACCAACTTACTCACTGACCAAAAGAGACTCAGAGTTTCCAATGTACTACATCCTCACCAACCCTGGAATATTGAGCTTTTCAAGTTTTTCTATTTTAGTAAATGTATAGTAGTATCTCAATGTAATTCTAATTTGCATTCCCCTAGATACTACTATAATTGAACACCTCTTTATAGGTTTCTTACACATTTGGATTTCCTCTTTCATGAAGTGACCAGTCAAGAGTTTTTTTGCTTGAATCTATACTGGATTATTTATTCCTATTGATTTTTGCAGTTCTTTATTCTGGAAACAAGCCCTTCGTTGATTGTGTTATAAATATTTTTTTTCACTCTGGATTGCCTTTTCACTCTCTTAAATGGTTTCTTTTGATAACAGAAGTTCTTAACTTCAATGTAATAAAATTGATCAATCTTTTCCTATATGAATAGATACCACTTTTGTGCCCATTTAAAAACTCTGTCTACTCTATCTTAAAGCAACTTCTACTGTCTCAGCATTTTGGTGGAGGACACCTCAAGCACAGAAGGTATGAGACAGCAAGATGTCAAGGGAGAGAGTATGGGCTCTAGAGTTAGACAGAGATGAGTGGACCTGGACAGGTTATTTACCTCTTTGAGCATTAGTTTATTTATAACTAAAGATATACTATAAAAAAAAAAAACAAAACAAAAATATATTATCTACCTTGCAAGATGTGTGTAAAGCACTTAGCATAGTATTAGCACATAGTAGGCCCTCAGTAAACAGTGATAGCTGTGATCATATTCTCTGAGCATCTTTCCCCTTATCCACAATGCCACAATTGCCTGGCTGCTTTGTCAAGCAATAGTCTATTACATTCAAGGACAGCAAAATGGATTGACTGCCCTCAATAGGCCAGCAAAGTCTCTGTTATTCAAAGTCAGCAACTACAGGACAAGGACCACCATCTTCCACCGAAAATGAAGGCTTGATACACAGATGCTCTTCTCACAAAGTCAAGTCATCCCAAGGATCCCAGAGGGATGCAATGGCAGCAAGTTGATTAATCAGAGTAATCTCTCTTTCTGTTCACTGCCAACAGCACAATGGTGTGGAACAGGTACTGCTTCAAACATGGGTGAGCCAGCTCCACTGAGCCTGGGCAATGTTGTGTCAAAGGAGTGGATATGCCAACCTGTGGGTCCTGCACTGTAGATGCAGGCAAGAGTGGGAGGATGTTGGCCTGCATGTATTTTGGCATGAGTGCCCAGTAAAGTATATAGTACACCTCCTAGAGGAAGTGTGTATTGAGTGCATGGGGCATATGTGTAAACATGCAATTGGATTACTCTAATACTCTCACCAGTCTAACATTCTGCTGGAAAGCCCTGAAGGTTTCCTGCTCCAGTGTACCCAGAGCCTGGGATCTCTCAATGCCCTCTGCCCCACTCTTTGAGACAGGATACAAACACAAAAAAGAGAAAAACCTTTTCTTTGAACCTGGACCACACTGAACAAGGAAGGAGCCTCCACTGTCAACTCCTCAGTGCACATGTAAAACAACTGGCAAAGTCTTCTGGACATTGCATCCCACTGCTGCTTCCTAGACCAGGAGTCCCTAGAAAGTCTTCCTAAGACTGTCCCACAATTCTGAGATACTCCATTGGCCTCCCTAGATACCCCCTACCTCCTTAGGCTCCACTTCACATGTGGCCAGTGCTGAGGGCTGAAAGGATGAGAGAGGGGGAGGGATTGGTACCTGAGCCTAGTGTTTGTCCAGCGGAGTCAAAGGAAAGAACCACTGAATCTGTAACACAAGAGGACAAGTTCATTTCTTTCTCCTTACAGTCAAAAAAACAAGCTCCCACTAACTCCGCCCAAACCCTCCCTCTTGGACAAGTGGGCTGGAAGGGAACTCAGCTGCAGAGATACACTCCACAGGCCCACGCCCACCCATCCACTGGGCCAGGAGGCCCAGTCCCTCCTCTCCTGCCTCTGGGAGGAACCTCTAAGGGCAGAGACACGCCCCAAATTCTTCAGAGGCATGAACTGCCAAATTAGGGGACAAACTTCTTTTTCCTTCTCATAATGAAAATAAAATTAAAACAAAGCAAAAGAAAAATTCCCTCCTGCATCTCATTACAGGCACTAACACTTCCCTTTGACTTCATCCTTTCTTTTCCTACTCATATACTCAATTGTTTATTATTTCTTCCCCCAAAAGGCTTAAAGTGGCCTATAGGAATTTATAGTACACACTGGAATTTTTTAAATGGTGAAGTCAAAGAAAGGAAAAATGTTATATAGTCAGGGGAATGTTAGTACACAAAATGCATGCCATGAGGACCTACACAAACACTACAGGGACAAAGGAGGCCTGGGCTCCCAAACGGTCAAAGAAAAGGAAAAAATGAATAGTTACAAGATTTAGTGCCCACAGTGCATTCATTCATTTACTCATTCATTCAGTCATTTAGTAAATACTTATTGGGCATCTATCATGTAAAAGATACTATACTGTGAGATACAGCAGCAGACAAAAAAAGGATGGTCTCTACCCTCTTGATCTCCCTGCCAATCAGTCTGAGAGAGTAAAGGAAGTTACTGAACAATAAATTTTCCAACTAAAAACAGATAAGATAAAAAAAGAAAAGAGTGCTGTGAAAGTGCCCATTAGGAACTAGACCTAGTTTGGAAAGGGAGCGAATGTTGGTTTAGGGAAGGCTTCCCTAAAAAAGTGGCACTTGAACTAACAGCTGAAGGATACGTAAGGGATACTTAGCCAGAATGGACTGGGGCATTCCAGGCAGACAGAGTACTATGTGTGGGGTGAAGCAAGATGGAACAGGGTGCTGCAGAACAGCCAGAAGACCAAAATATAAAAGTAAATACTATACAGTGATCAGAAAGGAATTCATTCCTCTTGTGGGTCTTAATAAAGGGATGCTGTATCTTCTACTATTTTTAATAGTAAGTAGTTATGACTCTCGTATGGCCATTTCTTACATGTGCCAGTATAAAATGCTGGCATAAAACCAATGTACAGTTCAATAAAGGCAATTATAAGGGATACCAGAATAAATTAAAGCCCAGAATAACCTCAGAGACCCCAGATGCAAAAGGAATCATATCCAAAAGGCTCACACACTACAAAGAAATGCCAGCTAGATGCATGCGGGACCCATGTCAACAGCCATGCCACCACCCTAGCACTATCCTTCAGATCTCAATTTGTATGCCATTTGCTCTTATTGCACATGGAAATCCAACACAGTAGTTATCCTAACTGTAAGTAACATCTGTCCCCACTGTTAGACTGTAAGCTCCATAAAGACAAATACTGTATCTGCTTTATTTACTGCTATGTTACCAACATAACACCTGGCATTCTTGCTAAGTACAGTGCCGAGAGAAATGAAGAGTCCACAAATCCTTCATGAATATTTTTTTCTCACAACTATTTATCAAGAGCTGAGTGGCAGAGAGCTGGAGGATATGGTTTTTGATAAGGATCCAAAGGCAGATATTCTGTCCTGCCAGTGAAGGGCAGATCTGTATGCTTTGAAACCTACCAAGCAAAAGGTAGGATTGACATCTTTTTACAAAAATGTAGAGAAGCACAATTAGGACACTTGGCTGATGAGACAGGTAACCAACCATCCTATCTCGTATGAGATACAATCAATGTCTAACTCTTACAAATCCTACTTCTTTATCAACGTTTCTCACATCCTTCTCCTCTCAGTGCTACTGCCCTTTCAGAATGGAAACCCCTATTTCTCACTCTCTTTTTAAAAGAGCTTTATTGAAGTATACTTGCATTCTATAAAGTTTACTCATTTTAAGTGAAAAACAATAATTTTTATAAAATTTACAGAGCTGTGCAAGCAGCACCACATACAATTTTATAACATTCCCATCACCCCAAAAAGACCCCTCATACCCATTTATAGTCATGCCCTGTTCCCACCCCCAGCCACAGGCAACCACTAATTTATCTACTTTCCGTCTTTACGGACTCACCTTGCAGGACATCTGCCCATCCTCTTGCTGGGACTGTTCTGATAGCCCCATAATCACATCCTGCGGCCAACTTAGCCCACTTCCATCATCCTTGATGCTGATTTTTCTAAAAAATATACCTGATTGTGTCTTTGCTCTCTGATTTGATTAAAATCCTTCAGGTGGCCTCCCATAGCCTGTAAGATAAAGTCCAAGCTCTGACATTCAAGGTCTTCACCATTTTGTCGCACTTGCCTAGTATACCTCATACTCCAGATATGCCAAACTACTTTTATTTCCCCAAAGAGATATGTGCCTTCACATCTTCAGACATCAGACCTACTGTTTTCTCTGCCTGTTTGCATACATAAAAACTCCCACTTTTCCATTAAGACCCAACTCAAACAGCCCTGCTTCCTGAAGGCTTTTCTAATCAATTTTGCTCACTCTTTTTTAGGCCATCACTGCACTGCTATTTTGGCATTTATTATAATGGTTGCTCTTTTTTTTCCTCTATTAAACCGCAAGTTCCCTGAGGACAAGGAATATCTACTCATTCTGAGGCTATGATGCCCAGCTCAGAGAGTGACACACAGAAAGTAGTCATTATGCTTATTAAACAAAGGAATCAACGAGTAAATGTCCTTGCTTTCTTTCAAAGGTTAAATCAGTGATAAGTCACAAGTTGGGGGAAAAACCCATTCTGCATATAGATTCTCATTCAATTCAACTCAACTTAACTGTCCTACTCTGAAGCTTCAGAGGCTGGAACCTGGCCTCATCCCAGGAAGATATAAGTATATACATATGTCAGTTAAGAGGGAATAAGGTAAGTGCCCCAGGAGCTTTCTCAGTTAGAGGCTCACCTGGAGAAGATGAGAGCTTTCAGAGGGGACTGCCCAGATGAACAATAAAAACAGCATCTCAAATTTTTATTGCAGTTAACAAGTACTTTTCCTATTGCAATTTACCTTTTGCGTACTCACAAGTAGCCCTGAAATAACCGCTTTTAATAAATTCTTCAATCTAAACATAAAGAAAAAAGGCTAAAAGTTAAATAAAAGACTAAAACTTAACTAAGCACTTAAAGACAAAACACTAAATGTTCATAGTGGTTGTCTCTGGGTGAAATTGTAGGTGATGCTTATTCTCCATGTTTTTGCAAAATTTCTTCAAGTGAACATGTATTACTTGTATCATCATGGGAAAAAAAAAGTAAAGAAAAAGAGCTCTCTAATCCAGCTCTAGGATTTTAACCTCTAACTCACTGGTACCAATGCAAAAGGATGGAAGGCTTTTGATTGCCTTTATTATTCACTGTATGTGCTGAAAAGCTACCCAGCTTTTCTCCTTAGTTACTGAGGTCATCCTTTTGTTCCATTTAAATATATATTAGCTATATCAATTCCTAAATAAACTGGGCTTTTTTTTTCTTCTTCCCTCCCTCCCACAAATATTATCAAGTACCTAATTATGTGCCAGGCCCTGAGGCGGAATCTAGAGATACCAGTAAGAGGTAGTCACTGCCTTCTAGCCAAGGAAGACTGACACGTTAAAAGGCAGCTAAAAACCAAGTATGATAAGGGTATGCAAGGGGTAAGCAGCAAACAGATGAGAGGCTTACGGAGCCTCTGCAAATATATTTCCTGTGGTAGTGGAGTGCTCCAAAGAACATGTGTCCTTAGCAAGAGATACAGTGAGAGGGTAGTTACTGCACGAGGAAGTTAGGGACAAATTCATGTTTTCTGTAAGTTTTGATGGATTTTACTTTGAGCATTAAAGGCATAGATGGAGATTCGACCATTCATCATTTGTGTTTATTCTAAAGGATGTAAGGTCATTTTAGTTATAAACCACTACGGCTAAAGGGAAAACTCAGTATTCAACAAATCAAAAAATTTGTTTTACAAGAAACAGAGCAAGAATATCCAGACTTCTCTCTCTCTCAGGCTAACAAATATGACATTTTTACTTCAAGCAGCCCAAGCTCCAGCTGTTCCTGGCTTCCAGGCCAGAAGCAGCCATGTGGTGTGCTATACAAGTGACCAAACAGAATTCCAGACCAAAGCACAGTAGAGCACTGTTGCATACAACTTTGTTCAAGGAGGAAACATAGAATTTACTAGAAATCTTTTATTATGGTCAGATGTTTCCTGTGTCTGGTTTCTGAATCAGGGAAAAGGAATATAAAAAGAGTACGAAGAAGAAAGTGTTCAGTCTTTTCCAGTTACTAAAGAGGCTCCAAAGCTCAGATCATTGTGAACAAGTACATTCAATACAGCCTCTTCTAACAGCCGACGTGGGTAAGCCCTAGAGATGTAAGAATGAATAAAAAAAAAGAAATTCTTCTCTTAAGTAGCTTGCAACCACATAAGATAAAAACACACATAGAGCTAAGCACTGCACAGTTAAGAACACTGTATTGTACACTTGATATTTGCAAACACAGTTCCCACCACACACACATGCACATGCACACACACCACGAAACTGTGTGGTGATCAATGTGCTCACTAGCCTTATTGTGATCATTTCACAGTATATTTGCAAATTAAACCATCATGCTATATACATTAGACTTATACAATGTTATCTGTCAACTGTATCTTAACAAAGCTGGAGGAAAAAAGTCAAGCATAACACACAGGGATAGAAATAAGAGTGACAAAGGAGATATTTTATTGCTTATTAACTTAACAGATATTTATTAAGTAACTACCACATACCAGACTTAGGGATACAACGGCAAGAACAAGAATGTTTCTATTCTCAAGGAATTTTTATTTTAGTCAAGGAGACTGGAAA